AGTAGGTTCGGTAGGTTGAGGAGCAACTCTTTGCTCTTCTGGTCGGGGCGAAGATACCCCAAACAAGCTCCTCAAAGGGTTATTTTCCATAGTAACAAGTGATAGTAAATTTCAGCACACTATATAAATTTTTTCCTTACCAAATTCCACCTACCAAAGGCGCTTCACTCCCCGGCAACGACGTCAGAAAAGAGTCTTGATGACCCACAAGTATAGGGGATCTATCGTAGTCCTTTTGATAAGTAAGAGTGTCGAACCCAACGAGGAGCAGAAGGAAATGACAAGCGGTTTTTAGTAAGGTATTCTTTGCAAGCACTGAAATTATCGGTAACTGATAGTTTTGTGATAAGATAGTTCGTAACGGGTAACAAGTAACAAAGGTAACTAACATGTAGCAAGGTGGCCCAATCCTTTTTGTAGCAAAGGACAAGCCTGGACAAACTCTTATATAAAGCAAAACGCTCCCGAGGACACATGGGAATTATCGTCAAGCTAGTTTTCATCATGCTCATATGATTCGCGCTCGGTACTTTGATAATTTGATATGTGAATGGACCAGTGCTTGGGTACCGCCCTTCCTCGGACAAGCATCCCACTTATGATTAACCCCTGTCGCAAGCATCTGCGACTACTAAAGAAGAATTAAGGTAAACCTAACCATAGCATGAAACATATGGATCCAAATCAGCCCCTTACGAAGCAACGCATAAAATAGGGTTTAAGCTTCTGTCACTCTAGCAACCCATCATCTACTTATTACTTCCCAATGCCTTCCCCTAGGCCCAAACAATGGTGAAGTGTCATGTAGTCGACGTTCACATAACACCACTAGAGGAGAGACAACATACATCTCATCAAAATATTGAACGAGTACCAAATTCACATGACTACTTATAACAAGACTTCTCCCATGTCCTCAGGAACAAACATAACTACTCACAAATCATATTCATGTTCATAATCAGAGGGGTATTAATATGCATAAAGGATCTGAACATATGATCTTCCACCGAATAAACCAACTAGCATCAACTACAAGGAGTAATCAACACTACTAGCAACCCACAGGTATCAATCTGAGGTTTTGAGACAAAGATCGGATACAAGAGATGAACTAGGGTTTGAGAGGAGATGGTGCTGGTGAAGATCTTGATGGAGATTGACCCCCTCTCGATGAGAGGATCAATGGTGATGACGATGGTGACGATTTCCCCCTCCCGAAGGGATGTTTCCCCAGCAAAACAGCTCCACCAGAGTCCTAGATTGGTTCCGCCAAGGTTCCGACTCGAGATGGCGGCGCTTCGTCCCGAAAGCTTCCTTATGATTTTTTCCAGGGCAAAAGACACCATATACTAGAAGATGGCATCGGGGGGCTGCCAGGTGGCCGATGAGGCAGGAGGGCGCGCCCTCCACCCTCGTGGATAGTGGGTGGCCCCCCTCTTGTGCTTTCTTCACCCAATATTTTTAATATATTCCAAAACTAACTTTTGTGGAGTTTCGGGACTTTTGGAGTTGTGCAGAATAGGTCTCTAATATTTGCCCCTTTTCCGACCCAGAATTCCAGCTGCTGGAATTCTCCCTCTTCATGTAAACCTTGTAAAATAAGAGAGAAAAGGCATAAGTATTGTGACATAATGTGTAGTAACAATCCATAATGCAATAAACATCGATATAAAAGCATGATGCAAAATGGACGTATCAGGAAGTTACAGGTGGTGCGGACCCTTGTGCCTGTGGAGGGGGCGGCTTATATAGAGTGCGCCAGGCCCCTTGTAGCCCTCAGTTACACAGGGTTCAATGTGAGTTAAGGCAGGGGCATTACTGGTAACGCCAGCTATTAATGATCTTTATGACTACGGAGTGAACGCCTGACGGTTGCCATCCTGGGGTGGCCTTAGATCTTCTGTACTCCAAGTGATTCTTCGTATGGTCGAGTGACGCTACTGTGGTCGAGTGGAATTGGGGTGTCCGAGTGGAATCTTCTGTCGAGTGGATTGCACTTCAAGGTGATTTCAGTCGGTGCCTTCTGTTGGACTTTGAATGTTTTTGACTCTAGGGCAGTGTCCTTGGGTAGGGTGTCTAGGTCATGCCTAAGACCCTATCCTAGGTACGTGTCATCGTTAGTGGAGCTATGATGGTCAACCTTGTTGAAGGCTATAACATTCGGTGATGCCCAAATCTTCCAAAGGATAATGAGGAGTAAGGTGGACCAAACAGATAGATCCAATCCAAGCGGTATTCGGCAATACCCAAATTGCATCAATGCAATGGGTGGGATGATGCCTATGTGCTGCCAAATCCTATCTGCATGCGGACATAGGATGGAGATATATAGAGTGTCCTCGGAGGCATGTCCACATTGTGGGCACAGGGCATCACTTGAGATATGTTTGTGACGAAGGTTGACCTTGGAGCTAAGCCGGTCTCTGAACAATAGCCCTGCAAAAAATTCACGCGGTTGGGGACCTTGGAGGACCAAATGGTCATAGCATGAGTGTTAATGTCCTCCTCAACCATAAATAGCATGTATGCCGCTTAGGTGGAGAAAGGATGACCACCAATGAGGAAACACATCAAGATATGTGGTAGGTGTGAAGTCCCACAACAAGAAAAAAAAGAAGTCAACTCTGGGGATGTAACATTAGGGAAGAATATGACATATATACCAACATTCAGTTGAAACTGATGAAAACCACGCAGAAAAGATGTTTTGGAGTTTCGGAAAAATCTAAAAAAGTATGAGATGCTAAGAAGGTGATGCTTGATTGTCATGCGCATGGCTATAAAACAACACCCTCTTTTTTCAACACGGTATAATGGAAGTCGCTCACATACACGCACGTACCCATCCCTATGAACGCGCACACACACGTTCTTCCCTGTGAGCACCTCCGAGAGACTGAGCCGGCATAGCATTTTGAGATTGACGAAGTTGCCACAGATGACTCTTAATCGACAGAAAATGTTGATGTATAAATGTGTTGCCTAGTCTATTTCATCAGATCGATCTTTTGATTGCATTGGCTAGAGCATGCACTTCTACATGGTATCAGGGCCAAAAGGTCTTGTTGCATTGGCTACAACATGCACTTCTGTAGAAACATCTCCTCGCACTGAACGAACATTGCCGGAAAAGCCTGAAATAAAATCCAGGCAAATGCAAGCATCAGTATCAAGTCTAGAAATTGAACTAGATGGGTTTGGGATATCACCCTCTTAACATCCTGTATTTTTTAGATTTTTTCTAGAGTTTCAAATGTGGTTTCTACAAAGTTTTTTGTCTAGCGGTACCGAGTACTTCCTTCGTCTTATAATATAAAAGCGTTTTCTTGTTTCAAAAACGCTCTGTACTATGGGACGGAGAGTAGAATGGTTGTGATGCTTTCCTTTTGCACGTTATAAAGATGGAAACTAAACGAGCCGATTTTGTTATACTGGCCGTGCCAGTCTTTCCTTCACGGGCTTCTAGATTACATGCCTATATCGGTGAAGATTCCGCAGCGCAATTAACGAACCTTCGACGTATCCGGCCCAATCCCATCCCATACCCCGCATCCCCCGGCCCCACCTACCTAGTACTACTCCGTAGTTCGTTTATACTACATGTTAGTACGTGCACATTGACCGACTCTCCCCTCAAGTCCGCCTCCTTTCTCCTCCTCTCCACTCGCCTCCTCGCCTCCGCTTCGGCGACGAAACCATCGAGCGCTCATCAACTCCTCCCCCCTCTCGTTCGCCCATCCATCTTCCCCAACTCCCTCCCAGATCCATCCACTTCTCGCTGCCGCTGTTCCACAATCTGCTGCGCCGACGGCGACGGGAGCGACGGCCATGGCGATGCCTGCTGCTGCTGCTGGTCCTGGGCTGGCGTCGGCCTGATTCCTTCCTTTTCGCTGGTAAAGTGGTAAGGAATCCTACCCTGATCGGACGGATCGTTCCCTCCCTCGAGTCGTTTTGGCGTTTGGGGTTTCCTATCTGCCTTGCTGTGGCATTGAGCAGCCGGGGCCCGAACCGTTCGTAATTTGTTGCCGATTTGTTCGTTTGTTTGCTTCCTTCGTCCGCGGGTCTGCTAGGTTGTCCTTTTGCGGGGCGCGAGGTCGGTCGGAGTTTTCTTCTCCCTCTAGATTAGATAGATCGGAGTTGGTCCGATGGGGTTTGGTGCGCAGGCTCGAGCGCAACTTATTTTTCCTGGATTTTGCGGGGTTCAGCTAAACCCCCAAACGCCACGTTCAGTCCGCCCCTGCTTGCCATTAATAGAGGGCGTTGCTTTTGTCCCCTGCAATTTTTTTGGAAGGTATTATCGAGGTAGACGAGGAAGGGTAGCGGGCGTACAGATTTGGTAAATGTACTACGTCCTTGGTTGTTTTATTGATTGACATTTGTTTTCGAAAAATGTTACAAACTGACGTCAGATTTTTAAGATTTCCCAGCGAACTCCTAGAATTGCCATGCGACGACAGATAAAATTGTCATGCTGTTGTAAGGGATTTGCCATGCTTCTAAAGCGAAAATTTCCATGTAGTAAAAAAAATGTCAGACAAATTGCCACACTCTGCAGAGTAATTACCATGCGTTCGATCAGCATTCGACGGTACTAAGGGCGTTCGCTGAGATTGCTTAAAAATCTGACGTTCGCTGGTTAGTGGCGTCCTTTTTCTGAAGAGGGGCGTTTGTTTTTTGGTCGACGTGTTTATGCATCCCATTGTAATGGGATTTTGTCACAACAGTTATAGTTTTGAGTGAAACCGTTGTACATGGATCTACATAGTTTTGAGTGATTGTATATTTATTATAGTACTAGTGTTTGACATTCCATACGTTCCTTATTCATTAGTTTCGAGATTGAACTAAAACAAGTCTAATATAAAAACTGGAACCTGAATTTCTTCCTAAAAAGAAGACCTGCCTTATGTGTACAGATCTGTCTATACTTTCGAGTGACTTGACTGATTTTTTTACCATGATTATGCACTGCTGTAGTTTTCATATGCACCATCACCATGGGCGGCAAGACTCTTCAGGTGTCAGGATTTCCTGCAACTGTCAATGTTCACCAAGTCAAGGATTTGTTGGAACGAATTGTCGGTGTGGGTAAAGTCTGTGCCGTCAAGCTCAGGCCTCCAAAGAACATCTCTGCAAACTCAAGATCTTTTGCTATTGTTCAGTTCGAGACCGAGGCACATGCTTCGCTGGTGGTGAATGCGGCTCGAGGGAATGCACTTAGGAGTGGAAGTAATTATCTGAAGGTCCGACCTGCGGAACGTGACATTGTTCTGAAACCAAGAGCTACGATGTTTAAACTAAAGAAGGATGCAACACTGCATTTTGGCTGCCTTCTGAGGGAAAGAGTTCTATCTGTTCTGTGGAGTGGAACAGACGTTTCTGTTGAGTTTGGATTTGCTATGAAGAAGCTTGACTTTTGCCTGACCTACAAGTTGAAGATATACAAACTTGAACTTTCATATGAGAGCATATGGGAGATCCAGCTTCATCGTCCACCTGGATCAGAAAAAGAGTTCCTTTTGATTCAGGTATGTTTACAGCACTTGTTTATCTGTGCTGAACATGCTTTTCATGATTTCATTTTACATTTACCTTCAAATTCACGTGACATGTTTAGTTGTTGCTAATTCATGTGTTTGCTCCTCCTTTTGTTTTATGTACTCTGAAATGTTTGTGTGTTGTTACAAGTGAACAACAATAATTTTCATTTTCTCTTAGAGTACCGATACAATGATAACCAATCCTTATGAAGTTATGCTACTTTGAGTTTTACATTAGAGCCCAAGATGATGGGATGGGAACACCAACTGCAGTATTTCCTCGATAGTTGCATACCTCTTTAAAATGCTGGAACAGCTTTTTACCTCGTTCAAGTTTTTTCTGTTTCTTGAAAGCTTGGTGCTCTAGATTTGTCATAACCTCAGTTTAAGAATTTTTGTCAATTCTCAGGTTCTGGCTGCTCCAAAAATTTACGAACAAAACCTACACCGTTCAGGTTCTATGTACGACGATCCATTATTCAACTATTTTAGGGATGATACTGATGATCAGTGGACCAGAACTACTGATTTTACTCCATTAGCCAGCATTGGACAATCATATATTCTGTGTCTGGAGCTACCACATGATTGTGATCTCCCCAACATTAAAGAGTACTTTGTTTACTATAAAGAACACAAGCGTGACTTTCATTGCCAGCGTGGACATTCATATTCAAGCAATACTTGCTTTGCTCCAATTGTGAAATCTCTTTATTTCACTGATGTCCCCTATGAGATACTCTTCAAGATCAACCACATGGTTCAGAATGGGACACTTAGTGGGCCGACACTTGATGACAACTTCTACCGTCTGGTCAGCCCGGGATATGTATGTATTGACCATATAAAGCGTGCACTTGAAAATATGTCATACCTAAAAAAGACTTGCTTGAATCCAACAAATTGGTTATCTGAACAATACAAAGAAATTAAGAGATCACGCTACATGTTAACATCACCAAACATAGCTCTGGATGATGATGGGTTGGTATATGTTTACAGGGTGCAAATTACCCCTGCAAAAGTGTACTTTTATGGTCCTGAAATTAATGTCTCAAATCGTGTTGTACGGAATTACGCTGATGATTTGGATAACTTCCTTCGGATTTCGTTTGTCGATGAGGACTGTGAGAAGCTTCGTTCGACTGATTTATCACCACGTTCTGCTCCAGGAAATAATGCAAGGAGAACTGCTCTGTACAACAGAATTCTGTCGGTCCTTTCAAATGGCATCACTATTGGTAACAAGCACTTTGAGTTTTTGGCTTTCTCTTCAAGCCAGCTGCGGGATAACTCTGCGTGGATGTTTGCTTCTCGTCCGGGGTTGTCTGCCAGTGACATCAGGGAGTGGATGGGGAACTTCCGTAATATTAGAAATGTGGCAAAATATGCTGCAAGGCTTGGTCAGTCCTTTAGCGCCTCAACAGAAACCTTGAAGGTACATCAGTATGAGGCGCAAGTAATTCCAGATGTGACAAACGGTACGAAGTATGTATTCTCTGATGGAATTGGAACTATTTCAGCTGATTTTGCAGATGAAGTGTCTAAGAAGTGCAAATTGGCCCGCTTTACTCCCTCTGCTTTCCAAATAAGGTATGGGGGTTACAAGGGTGTTGTCGCTATTAATCCAAGATCACACTGGAAACTTTCTTTAAGAAGAAGCATGTCAAAGTTTCCGTCAGACAATATCACATTGGATGTCCTTGCATACAGCAAGTACCAGCCATGTTTCCTGAATCGGCAGTTAATCACTCTTCTGTCAACACTTGGAGTCAGAGATAACATATTTGAACTGAAGCAACAAGAAGCCGTGAAGCAGTTAAACAGAATGGTAACCGAACCGCAAGCTGCTATTGATGCAATTGAACTTATGCCCATGGGAGAGGTTACCAATGTTGTTAAAGAATTGCTGTTATGTGGCTACCAGCCGGATCTTGAACCATATCTTTCTATGATTCTACAAACCTTTAGAGCATCCAAGCTGCTAGAATTGAAAACAAAGTCAAGGATATTCATCCCAGAAGGACGAGCAATGATGGGATGCTTGGATGAAACCCGCACACTGAAGTACGGAGAGGTATTCATACAAGCTTCTAATAGTGCAATTGACAGTGACAAGTTCGTTGTAACTGGAAAAGTTATCGTTGCCAAAAACCCTTGCCTCCACCCTGGTGATATCCGTATTCTCGAGGCTGTTTATACTCCTGTTCTGGACCATATGGTTAACTGTGTTGTCTTTCCACAGCAGGGGCCAAGGCAAGTATTTACCATTGCATCGTGTTCTTCTATGTTTTTCGAATATGTCTTTTAGCAAAATCTCATTTCTGTAATTATGTTCTTATTTGGTACTAGAAACCAACAGTGGAAGATAAAACAGTTCTGTACATTTTAAATCGAATAACCTTTTACTAGTTGGCACTCATGCATGTCATATTATTATTTCAATATCATACTCTTGTTGTCTTTGCCCTTTGTTGTTGAAATCAATGTCGAATTTGGTTCATGCAGGCCTCATCCTAACGAGTGTTCAGGGAGTGATCTTGATGGGGATATATATTTTGTTTCATGGGATCCAGATCTCATTCCAACTCGTATGGTGGCACCTATGGACTATACTCCAGCACCAACAGAAACATTAGATCATGATGTTATGATCGAGGTATTTTAAGTTTTTAGCCATATTATTCATTTTTCATGATACTCATGATAACGGCTGTACATCCATTGCCATATTATTCATTTTTCATGCTATTCATCGTCGTACTTCTGATTGCGAGTTTCTTTTTGACTCTGCTTCTCGTGTTTCTGGAGAGTTGACTACCTGAACCTATTTCCTGAGACCTGCAGGTTTTAGTTAGTTTGTTTGTCCTTTTCCCCCTGATACAAAATGTAGGCACTTTTAGAGTTGGTTACAAGAACCAAGGTTGGTGGTAGACATGTTGCTCTTCATTTATTTCAAAGACTAATTTTTTCCTCCCCAGCAACAGTAAATGCTAGAATTATAGGCTCAATTGTTGATGAAATTTATGTGGGGCTAATTTGGAACATGAGAACTGTATTGGGAGTGTAGAAGGATCTACACTTAAGATCAAATTGACAAGATAAAAAGACCTATGTTTTAGATCGGAGGAAGTAGGAAGAATAAATCTGTTTCTTTTCTGATGAGTACATACATTATACTTCTTTTAAGGAAATTCCAAGCAACCTGTAAAAACAATCTGACACCCTGCTTTTGGAACTATTCTAATATTGTGCAGGAAGTACATGAGTATTTCGCAAATTACATAGTTAATGAGAGTCTGGGAATCATTGCCAACGCGCATGTGGTCTTTGCGGATAGGGAAAGCTTGAAGGCTGAAAGTACACCATGCATTAAGCTGGCAGAGCTCTTCTCCATTGCTGTTGATTACCCAAAGACAGGAGTGCCGGCTCAAATTCCGCCTGAACTACATGTGAAGGAGTACCCAGATTTCATGGAGAAGCTCGACAGGGCTACCTATGTATCTGAGGGAGCAATGGGGAAGCTGTATAGGGAAATTAAGAAGCAGAGCCCTCGCATAGGGCATTTCACAAAGGATGTGGCAAGGCGGTCTTATGACAGTGATTTGATTGTTGATGGCTACCAAGACTACATCGAGGAAGCTGTGTGGATGAAGGGAGAGTATGACTTCAAGTTGGGTAATCTGATGGAGCACTATGGAATAAAAAGCGAGGCTGAGATAATAAGTGGATGCATTCTTAAGATGGCGAAGAATTTTACCAAGAGTAGTGACGCAGATGCTATTAGACAGGCGGTGAAATCATTGCGGAAGGAAGCCAGGTCATGGTTCAGCGAGATGAACGCCGGTGAGAGCGGGGATGTCCCTGAAGCCTTGTATGCCAAGGCATCCGCTTGGTATCATGTTACCTATCACCCCGAGTACTGGGGTTGTTGCAATGAAGGATATGGTCGGCCACACCTCATCAGCTTTCCATGGTGTGTCTATGACAAGCTGCTTCTCATCAAGCAGAGAAAGAAATTTCGAAGGAGGATGCAGCCTCATGTGCTTGATCTCCAGAATAGCATGAGCCGAAACATGATATTCGGTTGAGTGCTACCATCAGGCTGTGGTTTGCGTTGTATATATATTTGTTTTTTTTTTTTGCATTGTATATATATTTGAACATGTTGATTCTCGTGCTAGAATGTTCGTTGAAGGAATTATAATTGCAAACTATATGATATGTGGTGATGTACATGTGTCTACGAACCTTGGGGTCTTTTGGTTGCAGCCTTTAAATATATTTCTCTTTTGCAAAAAAAAAGTCGTTAAATATATTTCTGTGGTTTGATCTGTAATCATACCGGCTCTTCCCCTGTCTTTTTGGTAATAGGCATGTTTTTTTTTTTGCAGGGTTATGCATGTTCATATTAATCCTGTGTTTGACCAGTGCTTGCTGCATTGAAATGAATGGAGGATCCAAATTTAGACATTGCGAGATTGCTGATAACTGGTGGTCTGGTTCAGAAGAGAAAAGTACTGAAACCACGAATAGTGATTCACCTGATATGATCTCCGGTGTACTCGTTGAGAAATGCAATGCTTCAGAAGGTGGTCTCGCAATGCCATGAAAAAGACATCTCTAGGCCAGGGCTCTATGAGATGCTATCATGTGATAATGAAATCCTATCATAGTCAGAAAAGGGAAAAGCAGGTCGATCCCTTTTCCACAACGCCTATCCTCCTGCTCCGATGAGGCTCAGAGTCGCGTCTTCCCTCGCTGGAATCTTTAGTGGCCCCGGCCGCGCCGCTTTGCTTGCGTGGATTGTTGTCATTTTTCTTGTCTACCTTCTATTCGTCGAGTGAAATGCCCTCTCATCATTCGATTCTTAGCCTGGTACCTGGTAAAAGTAATTAGTGTTTTTGGCATTAACATAATTAGTCCAGAAAATACTACTCCCTCCGTAGGCAAATGTAGGATGTAACGTCTTACGTTTGTGTACAGGGGGACCAATTATGCCACAAAACCACTCAACTACACCAATATAAAAGGACCCAAAGACGTGGATCCAACACATCTAGGCCATCAAACCAGGTCAATTCGACGACCCAGCAGGCTACTCCAATGATTAACGCTCAACACATTTAGCGTGGAGTTAATATCGTAGTACCAAATATCAATTCTGGTGCTAATCACATAATTAACACGTAAATAATATAATATACATACTATCTGAGTGCAATTAATAAACTGTTTAATATCAACATGCGTTGCATGTATGAATTTACCAGTCCTAGTAAGGCAAGAGAAGACTTTGAAAAGCTACCAAACATGATAAAAAAATCAGCATTGTGATAGATATCCCTCTATTTTTTACAACTGAAAAGTTACTAAACATTGACACTGGGCACTAGGTTAGTAATATAATAGCATGAAAAAATAAAAAAAATAAAAAAACATTGGAGACATATCAGATGATTATTTGTGGCGCTGAATTTCCTTTGCGTGTACCCAACATGATCTCCTCACTCCCTCCCCATATCTCTCCGTTCCTCTCTTTCTCCCTATGCGTGAGGGTCGCGGAAAGGTCATTGGGTCACCTTTGGAAGCTAAAGCGAAAGTTGTAATTATCCAATGAATTTATTGGTGCTACACATTTTTTTCTTGGCAAGAACCGGTTTTGACAGAATGTGTCTTGTTTATCTCAAAAAATAGAGGGATATCTATCACAATGCTGATTTTTTTTATAATGTTTAGTAGCTTTTCAAAGTCTTGTCTTGCCTTAATAGGTTGTAATTATTAATAGATACTTTATACGCAATTTTATATCATTTTTGAGAACCAACCTATTAACGTAGTGCCCAGTGTCAGTTGTTGTTTTGGCCTATTATTTTGTTTCATAGAAAAACAATACGAAACGAAGTCCAAACACGACAAAATTTTACGGTGATTTTTTCTGGACCAGAAGGGACCCTAGAAGCGTAGGGAGGTGGCCAGAAGATGTACGAGTGTAACATCCCAATTTTCGATTTGGATGTTATACATAGATCATCATATGCATATCATATTTATTCTTGCATTTGGTTGAGATCCTAGAAATCTTAAGCAACTCAAGGACCCAAGGAGAGAGTTGGAGGTTTCACAAAATTCATATTTGAATTTATTTCAAATTTGAAGAAAGGATCAATTTGATTTTATTATTTTTCTCTCCAATTATTTCCAATAATAAAAATATATGAGAGAAGATAATATGACTTCTTCAACCTAAGTGAAATATTGAGAAAGAATTTTAAAATCAAATTATGATTTTATTGGTATTTTATATGCTATTTTATTTGAATTAGAAAAATATTGCATTTTTGAAAATTGCATTTTAGTCCAGAAAAATGTTCATCTTGTCCTAAGTATTAGGTTTGAACGGTGAAAATTGTTTCTGGAATTTTTAGAATTTTTTTTATATTTTATTAGGAATTTTCTTTCGGGTGAAAATTATTTTTAAAAAAAGTTCTTTCCCGCCTGACTGGGCCGAAGGCCCAGCCGAGCAGGCCGGCCCGCACCGCGCCACCGCCTCCGCCGCCGTCCCCGAGTCCGGCCGGAACACGAGAGAGTCGTCGTCGTCACCCGGGACTCCTCCCGAGGCCGAGCTCCTCCCCCCCTTTAAATAGCGCCACCCCGGGCTCCCTGGACCCCGTCCGCGCCGCTGCCATCACCTCCCATCGCCGCCGCAAGCCCCGCCGCCGCAGGAGCTCGACGCCGCCTGCGCAAGCTGCCGTCGCCGTCCCGCATCACCACCCGACGCCCGCGCCGCCGTCGCGCTGTTGCCTACCGCCGCCGCCGACTCGCTGGGATCTGCTGCCGACCCCGCCGGTTTTTAGGTAAAAACCTAGATCGGTTTTATTAGGGTTTTGTCGTTTTTTTAGTTTAGCCGGTTCGTTTAGTTAGATCAGTTTTTCGTTCGGTTTATTTATTTAACGAATGTTCGTTCGTTCGTTCGTTCGTTATAACGAATGATTTTCGCCGGTTAAGTTCAAATAGGGAACATTCACGCCGTAGGATTTTTCCTTTTAGTTTATTTTCGGCCAGAGACCTATCCATGAATAGTTTTATCGCGATTTAGCCCCTGATCTTTAAACTAGTATAACGTTTTACTCGTTTATCCAAATTAGTTGAAACCAACGCCTAAAATCTCGTATCGTTCTGTTCTTTCCAGTTAACCAACTTGAACATGATTTTGGTACTGTAAAATTTGAGTTTAGTTCAGATTAGTAAACAATCTTATTTTGTTCGTGTTTTGAGTTTCGTTGCTCCGTTTGAGTTGAATCTTTTTTGCAAATCGTAGGTGCAAATCAAATCTTCCATGTGCAGCCACAAGCCATTATGGGCTCTGGCATAGTTGATTAAGTTGCGTGAGCTCTTGAAAGAGGTGGACTAGCAGATGTAGGGGAAAGTAGGTGTATCGGTCTGCCCGGAGTAGAGAGTTAATGCTTCAGAAAGGCTATGCCTCGATCATCCGATCATGGATGCGGTCGAGTCTTGTGGGGAAAAGTGCGCAAACCTCTACAGAGTGTATAAACTAATCATGGTTAGCCATGTCCCCAGTTATGGACATCTTGAGTATCTAGTACTTGAATCTATTGATGTGATCTCATCACGTTACTTTAATTAATTTGATTTGGGTTAATGATGATACTTTTAATTGGAATTTGAGTTGGGATTACCTTCTCAAATAATAGGCAACTTGGGAGTAGTTAAATAAATTTATTCCTTTGTTGTAGGAAAAAACTAGCTTTATGCAAAATCATAAACTTACAGCCTCCACCAGTCAAATATTGCATGTAGATGTAGTTCTTGCATTTCATTGCTTTACAGTGTAACTCTACCAGCATATTCAATGTGCTGACCTACATGGCTGCAACGTCTCATGTTGTAGACTACTCGGACGACGAATAAGGTGTGGTAGGTCATTGTTTTGCACTCAGCTATGCCGTTGGAGTTGATGGACTCATTTACCTTCAAAGCTTCCGCGGTTATCTAGTTTAGATGGCCTTCAACCATGATATTTTTGTGTAATCATACTCTTTATGAGGACTCGATGTAATAAGTGTGTGATTGAAACTCTGTTATAATTCCTCGAGTACTGTGCCTGTCAACATTACCGATCCAGGGATGACACTGATGCACAGAGACTTGACCGTTTGAGGTCTGGTCGCTACAATGAGAGGGCCACAAGCTCACACGGCGCCCCAAGGGGGGCGCCACCTGAGCTTGTGGTCCCCACGTAACTTCATTTGACCTAATTTCACTTATATAAATTCCCTTAAATCCTAAAAACACCATAGCGAGACCCGAAACAATTATTCCGCCGCTGCAAGCCTCTGTTCTTCCACGATTCCATCTGGAGGCCTTTTCGGTACTTTGCCAGAGGGGGAATCGATCACGAAGGGATTCTGTCGTGGAATTGTCACGTCAGATGTCCCCGTGAAAGGACTTAGTTGTGGAGCCATCACAACTAGGAAGCTTGAAGGGGTTAATCGGGACAAAGGACACGATGGGTTTTATACTAGTTCGGCCCCTTACGGTGAAGGCAAGGCCTATGTCTAGTTGGGTTGGTATTGATATTTCGATGACCAGGGAGCGAGATACGCTATGCCTGGCTCTCGATGAGTTGTTTCCTGCCCTAAGCCGCCAGTGGGTCGTCCTCTTATATACACGAGTGGACGCCCTGCGGCTTACAGAGTCCCGGCCGGCTTATAAACAATGTCCGGCTCGGTGACTAGTTAAGTCTACCTTATAATACAAGTAATATTATTACAGCGGTTTACTACAACGGGCCTTAAGTCGCCTGTGGGCCTTAAGCTTTCTATGAACCGCCATCTTCATGCCTTGGTCTTGGGCTTCTCTCTGGGGAATATTCTTTGAATAACCCGGCCCCTCCTGGGCGGCTTACACAAATAGTTATATCCCCAACATTAGGCCCCAGATTGATTTGAACCTGTTCATGTCAATCTTAAAATACCTGATGAACTGTCCTGCAGTCTTTTGTCTTGCGCAAAGAATTTTAACCCGCCATGACGTCATCATCTGGATCCAGATTGAATCTTCGTGACGT